GGGTGGGTGTGGGTGTGGGGGGTGTGGGTGTGGGTGTGGGTGTGGGTGTGGGTGTGGGTGTGGGTATGGGTGTGGGTGTGGGTATGGGTGTGGGTGTGGGGTTGGGTGTGTGTGGGGTGTATGTGTGAGGCATCTCTTAGCCAACACCCACACTCACGCACATCCACACCCACACCCTCTTCAAGCGACATCACTTCTTTTTATCTAATCTCGTTATATATATCATGTATATCTTCCATTGTACAATCAGGCTATTCTATGATTGGCGTATGAACGTTCAGTTTAAGTTAAGTCATCTCAAAAAGATAAATGAAGTGCGTTTTAACGATTCTAGCGATTTTATTGGTTAATTCAGTTTTAACTTGTTCGGCGTGATTTCGGCCTAAGGCCCCAAACAGACTAGACGAATTAATATTCAATTAAGAGATGTAATTGGTGTTGCTATGTAGAAACACCAATCACATCTCTTAATTCAGTATTATTTCGTCTAGTCTGTTTCGAGCCTAACTCTTTTCTTTTATCTTAAGTTCAGTCAGTAAATTTTCATTTCGATTCCAGGATTGTTTTGTATTTTCTCGTTTAAATGATCTTTATCTCTTTTGAATTAACAAATGGAAAAAATACTTTTTCTTTTTTCTCCTGTTTAGATCTATTCTGTTGATCATCATCATTTCTATTTGTTCTTGTTTGGTGAGGATATTTTTGATTCAGGTTAGTCGAATTTTTGAATCAATTTGGTATCAACATTCCACGGTCTTTTTTTTCCCGTGTTAGTAGATAAATTTAAATCGTGAATCTGTTGTCACACATCGGCATTATCAATCGAAAATGAATAACGAAAGTGAGTAGTTGATTGGTGTTCTTTAGAAACTTGATTCCGATTATAAATATTTGATTCAGTGGAAAAGTTTCTTCTTCTACTTTTATTACGAAAACAAACGTTGGGATAATTCTTGAAAGAAGATTTCAGCTTGTTGTTTATTTAATAAATTGTTATCTATTGATTTTTATGTTTAGATGTTGTCGAAAAATTCAAGTTAATTGTGTCTCGTCTACCGATGTCAAGCACATTTAAACAACAGTTGGAATCTCTTCTTGGTCAGTATACAAATGATGATGAAATTTCATTACGTATGTTAATCGAGCAAACATATGTTCTAATGTTTGAAAACAATAAAAGCTCGTCAGAATTCAATGCACCAAAAGAAGCTAGTGAATGCACGAAATCCATTGAAGGAACTGTCAAGCAAAAAACGACTCAACAATTACTTAATGATATTATTGATCAATTTGATGCCTTGTTAGCAGAAATGATAGCTGATGAAGATGATTTGATTCGATTTGATATTGTGAAAATCGACTTACGGCAATTATTCATTCAAATGGAAAAAAATATTTCTACGTTAGAAAATGACGTTGGTGTACTAAAATCTCGTGTATTGGCATTGGAAGAAATGGAAAGTAACATTAATGTGATACAGATGGGGAACATAGCATTTCAACTTCTCAACAAAATGATTAGATATATCAAACCAGGTCTATCGAAAAGAGCTGCACGTGATGAACGTATATATTCATTACAAGGAGAAGAAAAATTTCCAGATTTAACCGATCTTATCAAGAAATATGATCAAAAGTTGACCATCTTCGATCTGGCACGATCAATAAATGCGTTGAAAAAACAACGTGTTGAAAATGCTCATGATGAACATCCAATGTCAAGTGATGAAATAGATTCAATCTTAACTGAATTTATTTCCGGTAATGATCAATATTTAAGTCAACAAGCAACGGTGGTGGTTCGTTTTCTAAAAATCTTAGCAGGACATCTGAATGAACCATTAATTGTTGATCTAGGATGATGACGAATATTATATTTTTAAATAAGCAGGTTTTTTTTGTTTCTTTCCTGTTTTATCGTTTTTTTTATCAAATAAAAAATATCTTTTCTAACAAGAAATCTGTATCTTTCTTTTCTCTTTTTGATTTGCCCTTTCATTGAATTCATTAACAGTCTGATCCAAAAGCTTTTTTGAAGATTTATTGCTTGACTTTCATCAAACAAAATCTCTTGCGTAAGTATTGATTGATATCGTTGTGATATACTCTGATTGGGTGTGGGTGTGGGCGTGAGTTTGGGTGCCAGATGATACATACGCACACCCGCACCCACACCCTTCCATCGAATACAGAAGTTATTCAAAATGCAGCTGGAATGAATGGTACAATTATTTTCTTTTTCATCTTCATTTATAAGACTTGTTTTTCTTCGTTTCTAGTCAGTAGTAGATATGGTTTTGATCTTATGGATGCTGGTTTAATGACTTGGTATGCAAGCGGTTGGAAAAATGTTCCACTTATGTCAACATGTGAATCAATGACTTATAATCCAAAAAAGACTATAAAGTCAAAGTCAAATGAAACATTT